AGGTGGTGTGCTAAGCATGCTTTCCTTTTTTTTTTTTTTTTTTTTTAATATAATTCATTTATTCCTCTTGGAAGGCTCAAAACAAGCGAAAGCATGCTTTTCATGAGAGGTTTTTTTATTTGTTCCTTACAAAAATCCAGTTAAATAGAACCTCTTATCCCCATTTTATCGATGAGACAATTAGACTCAAGAAGATCAAGTTATTTGCTCCATGTCACACAGCTGCTAATTTGAGGAACTAGAATTTGAAACCAGGTCCTTTTACTCCAGGGCCAAAGCTTTTAAAACAGTAGAGGTTGAGAGTAATCCATTTGATAATGGATCTCAGGTATGTGTCTTTCTGCCTCATCAAAAAAATCCTTTTTTTTTTTTTGAGAGGTGGTAACTAAAATATATGCCAGCTAGAATAGCCCAGAACAGTTGATGAATATGTGAAATCTCAGTTTATACTTTATGTCTAATAACCAAATGTTTGATTCACACTTACGAATTGATCATTGAAAGTATCAATCTTGCCTTCTTTTTAGGTTCTGCAGTAGGATACCCAAACTTTTTAAATCCTTAGTTTTATCTAACAGTCTTATAGCAACTGATCAAAGCATGACTCCTCATGATTATAGCAGTATCTCATTTATTTAATGTATATGTGGAACAATTTCATTAAGTTGCTGATCGTTCTTCTCTTACTGGCATTTCTGGTCTTTATCCAGAAAACAGTACTCCATTAGCACCCAACTCAGGTCCGTTTCCACCTTTTAAAAGACAAAGGGTGCCTTTTAAAAGACAAATATATAAAAAATGATAGAGTGGGAGGTTTTCATTGTTGGGATGAGACATGGCATTTGGTCAAGCTTATAAACTCACTTGTTTGTTAGTTCTCTAAATCTTCACATTACACGAGTTTTCATTTCTGAGATACAAATAACCTACACAAAAAGCAGCCCTAAAGTCCCCCAAGGCCTGTGCCCAACAAGGTTCTTATTAATCATTTTTAGTCTGTTTCATAGGCAACAATGGCATTTATGCTAGAAAACATCCATCTCAGCACACCAGGACTTGCTGTTTACAGGTGTCAGCTCCTTCTGTCTAAATAATATGGCCTAATGCCATTCTTGAAAATACGCTTTCAGCTGTGTATCTTTACTCTGTAAAGAGGCCTGTGTGTAGGATTTAACATCTAGAAAATAAGGCAAGCCTCAAGAGTTCAGGGCTGCAGTGAGCTACAATCACACCACTCTAGCCTGAGTGACAGAGCAAGACCCTGTTTCTAAAAATAAAAGTAAATAAAAGACAATAAGGTAGGCCTGAGCCTTGAAATGAATTATCTAAATTTGGTACAGTTTTGCAGCATGTTTCACATTGAGTATATCTAAGCAGGGATGAACTGTATGGTAACATGGGTCTTCTTGCCACATTTGGATTGTCTTAGGTAAGTATGCCAAAGATTCATCAAATTACTACGAAAAGTACCCAGTTGTAACCATTTGTGATTATCCTTTAAAGAAAATCCCACTTTCTTCAGAGTAGCAAAAGTCTAACAGTCTGATATCCACTGATCAAAGCATGACTCCTCATGATTATAGCAATATCTCATTTATTTAATGTATAAGTGGAACAATTTTATTAAGTTGCTGATTGTTCTCTGTTATTGGCATTTCTAGTCTTTATCCAGAAAACACTGATTTCTGAATCTTTTCTATGGATTTCTGAATCTTTCCTAGTGTCCCCCAGCTTCAGACTTGAGTGTGATTTTGTCTCCTCCTTTTTTCTCATACTCATATCCAATCTATCAGCAAATTCAGTAGGATCTGTCTTTGGAATATCCACTGAATACCAGTTATTTCTCACCTCCTCTATAGCTGTCACTGTGATCTAAGAGATTGTTCTCTCTTCCATGGACTGTTGAAGCATTGTCTTAGTTGGCCTCATTCTATTTATGTCCTATATAATTTGAAAGAACCACATAGCAGTGGTCCTTTTAAATGGTGTCAGATTGTGTCACTATTATGCTTCTGGGTGTTTGCTCATGTGCCCTTCTGTATGGTTTGTCATCCTCCATACCTGTCTCTCAGGTTAGCCTGAGTTTCTTACATGGTAGCTCAATAATCTAAAGAGTCAACAGAAGTTGCCTGGGCTTAGAAGTCCCAGAATAGAATGCAACTTTCTCCCCATTCTCTTAGTCAAAGCCTAAATTCACAGAATAGGACATAATCTCCACCTTTTGGTAGGAGGAGTAGCATTCATGTAGAGGAAGGGCTGGAATTGCTGAGGGGCAATCTCTGGAGATTTGCCACCACCACCACTGGAACGACCAGGATAATTTGGCCCCAGCCACTTCTCCAGCCTTACTTTTCCTTGCTCACTCTATTCAAGCCACACCAGGCCCTCTTGTTATTTGAACATGCCAGACAGATTGCCACCCAGGACATATGGTCTCCAAATTCCCATTGCCTAGACCATTCTTTTCCCTGTATCTAGTTCCCTCATTTCCTTCATGTCTGAGTTAGAATGCCACCTCTTTAAGGAAACTATCTGTGACAGCTTAGACTTAAATATCATGTTCGTTTTTGTTAATTGCTGCATAATAAGTCACCACAAACTTAGCAAGTTAAAACATCACCTATTTATTAGTTCTATGTATAGTGCTAGGGTCAGAAGTGTGGCACATTGTGACTGGGTTCTCTGCTCAGAGTATCTCAGGGCTTAAGTCAATCAAGGTGTTGGGCTGGACTGAGTTCTCACCTGGAAGCTCTGAGGGAAAATCCTCTTCTCAGCCCACTTTTTTTTTTTGAGATGGAGTTTCACTCTTGTTGCCCAGGCTGGAGTGCAATGGCACGATCTCAGCCCACTGCAACCTCTACCTCCTGGGTTCAAGGGATTCTTCACCCTCAGCCTTCTGAGTAGCTGGGATTACAGGTGCCCACTACCACACCCAGCTAATTTTTTGTATTTTTAGTAGAGATGGGGAATTCGCTATGTTGGCCAGGCTGATCTTGAACTCCTGACCTCAGGTGATCTACCCACCTTGGCCTCCCAGAGTGCTGGGATTGTAGATGTGAGCAACCGGGCCCAGCCTTCAGCTCATTCTTGTTGGTAGAATTCAGTTCCTTGCCATTGTAGGACTGAGGTCCCTATTTTCTTACTGGCTGTCAGCTGGGGGCTCCTCTAAGCAGCTACAGACTGACCACATTCCTTGCCAGCTGGCCCCCTTCCTCTTCTGCAATTCATTGGAGCAAACTCTCTGCTTTTAAAGCATTACGTTAGGTCAGCCCCAGCTAAGTAATCTCCTTAAGGTCAGCTAATTCAGATCCCTCTTTTAATCACAGCAATACATACATTACTATTCTAATAATTCAGGGAAGATAGGTGTAGACCAGGGGCCAAGAATTGTGGGAACCATCTTAGAATTTTGCCTACCACAATAACATACTTTTTCCTGTACTCTTATCCTCCTTTATTTTTCTTCATAGCATTACCTACATTATTCTAAGTATTTGCTTGTGGTTTATTTGTTTGTTTGTTTGTTTGTTTTGGGGGACAGAGCCTGTTGACCAGGCTGGAGCGAAGTGGTGCAATCTCAGCTCACTGCAACCTCTGTATCCGGGGTTCAAGCTATTCACCAGCCTTAGCCTCCTGAGTAGCTGGGATTACAAGCATGTTCCTATCCCAAAACGTTGGGATTACAGGTGTGAGCCACTGCACACAGCGGCTTGTGTTTTTAGTGTGCCTTTCACACTAAGAGTATATGTTAGTGATGTTAGAAACTGTCATTTTGGTTCATTGCTATATTTCTAGTACCAAGGACAGTGTTTGGCACATTGTAGATGCTCAGTAAATACTTATTGAATGAATAAATTAATAAAAAAGACTTCATGGGAAATACAGAATATTTCATGGAAAAGGGTAGATTGAGCATATGAGTGTTATTTAAGCTTTATGTCCAGAAAGGTACCACAGAGTCTCAGAATATTCATTGGTTTCTCTTTCCATGAAGGATTTCTTATTTGACTATTAAAAGCCAAGTTGTTGGCCAGGTGCAGTGACTCGCGTCTGTAATCCCAGCACTTTGGGAGTCCAAAGCGGGTGGATCCTTTGAGGTAGGAGTTCAAGACCAGTCTGGGTAACATGGTGAAACCCCATGTCTACTAAAAACACAAAAAAGTAGCCAGGTGTGGTGGCGCATGCATGTAGTCCCAGCCAGTCAGGAGGCTAAGGCAGGAGAATCGCTTGATTCTCTTGGGAGGTGGAGGTTGCAGTGAGCCAAGATCTCGCTACTTCACTCCAACCTGGGCGATAGAATGAGACTCTGTCTCAAAAAAAAAAAAAAAAAAAAAGAATGTTGTGCTGACTGGACACAGTGGCTCACATCTGTAATCCCAGCGCTTTGAAAGGCCAAAGCAGGAAAATTGCTTGAAGCCAGATTGAGACCAGCCTGGGAAACAAAGGAAGACTCCACCTCTACCAAAAAAAAAAATGTTAAAAATTAGCTGGACATCATAGTATGCACCCATATAGTCCTAGCTACTCTAGAGGCTGAGGTGGGAGGATCACTTGAGCCCAGGAGCTGGAGGCTGCATTGAGCTATGATCTCACCACTTTACTTCAGCCTGGGTGACCGAGTGAGACCTTGTCTCAAAAAAAAGAATTGTGAGCAAGTAGTTGTATAAATGTTTAACAACTGTTGTATACAATAAAAAACAAATTAGATCTTTGGCTTGCTAGTAATAACATGCTTTCAGCTTTTGGGTTTTATCTGTGTATCTTCAAACAATAAGAATGTCTTCTGCAAACTTTTGGAAATGGATGCTAAGTCTTCTGGTGTTATAGCTGATTTGTCAACTTTGTAGGTTATTTCTGTGGTTTTCCATGTAATTGCTGGTAGTGTAACAGAGTGGGCTCAATCATTAGACATAACATAGCATGCCATACCAGAAAATCAGATGTATTTCCCTCATTTTCAATACTAATCATTTTATATTTCTTTTAACCCCCTTCTACAGACAAAACTTGCCAATGGCACTTCCAGTATGATTGTGCCCAAGCAACGGAAACTCTCGGCAAGCTATGAAAAGGAAAAGGAACTGTGTGTCAAATACTTTGAGCAGTGGTCAGAGTCAGATCAAGTGGAATTTGTGGAACATCTTATATCCCAAATGTGTCATTACCAACATGGGCACATAAACTCGTATCTTAAACCTATGTTGCAGAGAGATTTCATAACTGCTCTGCCAGGTATGTCTACAGGTGTTTGTAAACCATTAATTTGCTATGATAACAGAACTAGATCTCCAGCTATGTATCTCTCTTTAAAAATCTGTTGGCTTGATTTTGACAAATTAAGTCCCTTAACTGTATCTTTTTGGTATAAAGCTTTTTAAAAAACAAACTCTAGAAATAAAGACTTTTTTGAATTTGAGACAGAGTCCTACTCTGTCATGCCCAGGCTGGAGTGCAGTGGCATGTTCTCTGCCTCCCAGGTTCAAGTGATTCTCCTACCTCAGCCTCCTGAATATCTGGGTCTACAGGCACCCACCACCGTGCCCAGCTAATTTTTATATTTTTAGTAGTGGCAAGGTTTCACCATATTGGCCAGTCTGGTCTTGAACTTATATCCTTAAATGATCCACCCACCTTGGCCTCCCAAAGTTCTGGAATTACAGGTGTGAGCCAGTGTGCCCAGCCAAGACTCTTTTTATCCTATCTTCTTGTACATGCCCTTCTATCAACTTATTTTTACCCATACATAGGTACAAGTAAAATCTTTTCTGAGATGTTACCTGGTGTAAGATGTGTCTTTTATAATAAGATATCTTCGATTCAAGATATGTTCGCTTGTGTACTTGGATTTGTATTTCTATGAGAATATATCAACAGAATATTTGAATTCGGCAGATGAGTAAGAAACATTTTTAGTTGAAGTTTTTAGAAAGAAGGATATCTTATAAGCCTTGTTATGGTGTTAAATAAATATAAAACAATATGTAAAATAGTTTTTTTGGATGATAGTGTGGTTTTTCTAAATGCTTAAAGGGAAGACTAGGGCACTGCCACGTTGTCAGTATTTGAGGGGAATGCTATCTCAGGAAAATACAAGGTTCTCATGTATTCAAAGTTTATTTTAAGAGAGAAAAATCATACCAACATGAATGAATCTTATCTTAAATATCATATCTTATTAGGTTAGGGGTGTTGGTTGTTGTTTTCACATTACAGAAGTTATAGGAAATTTAGAAAGTATTTTTTAAAATTTCTAGAATCCCACCATTCAGAAAGAAGTGCTAATTTGCCGAATTATTACTATTTTGGCAGGTAGCCTTTCTATTTTGTGTAGGTATGTGTATTTTCCTTAAAGCTTTGATCATAAATGTTTTGTGACCATTTTTTCTTAATATATTCTCTTAATGTATTTTTTTAAATGTGTGTTCTTTTAACATACTTTTCAATTGCATAGTATTCTTTACAATGGTTGAGGCACGTATTCTTTAACTCCTTTATTGAACATTTAGGTAGTTTCAAAATTTTTTTCTATTTTAAACCATGTGATGATGAATGTTTATACATTAATCTTGTGGGAATCCTAGGGAAAAAATACAGACATGGAATCACTATATATTAAAGAGTTTGAACATTTTTAAGGCATTTAATACATGGTGCCAAACTATCCCCTAATAAAAATACACCAGCTTATAGCCTCCCAAGTATTAATAGTACTTTTTAAATATTTGCTAAATATTTTTAAAGTTTTTGTTTGTCTTAACTAGGAATTTAAGTTAAACAAAGGAAATACTTATTTGTATCAGAAATAACCACTGTAAAAACTGAATTTTACCTATATCTTTTGTTAAATAGAATAGATTTTTACCCCCTCTTTATTCATTGGATTTTGTTTTAGCCATAGGCAAACAGTTCTCTTTGTATAAACAATCTGTGTGTACCTCATTACTTTGTTCTCCCCAATCACTGAGACATGTTACTATCTCAAGCTTATACCGCTAAGAATTGAACAGGAGTTGATTAGACCTGTGTATTCTTTACCTAATATTGATCCCTGGTGTGTATCCGCTGACCACTCTATGAGGTATTAAATCATCAATCTAATGCTTTATGGCCATTCAAACTTATAAACCTATACCATCTGGCTACGTTTAGTAAACCAAACTACTTCAAAAAGTGCCTGTAGTCCATTAATGTAATGGGTTTGTTTGGAGTGTTAGGTGAAATTACTTCCGAAGACTTATTATAGGTACATGGTGAATGATCAGGAGCAATTTGATGGCAGCCATTAAAAACACAGGACTGCATTTTGGAAATTTCTGATGGTGTAGAAAGTTTTAATATAAAGATCCAGGAATTGTGCCATTACTGTATTTTACATGACAAACTAATTATTATATCTTTAATTGGCTTTTGTTCATGTTCCTTTAATAAGAATTGGGTAATGCATGCCTCCATCTGCTTATGCTTAAATACCAACATGTGACGCCAGCCAAACAAGATCCATTTAATGTTTTCTTTCTCACGTCTGCTGAAAAGTGTCACTGATATCCATACAATCTTTATAATTAAAATGATACTTAAGCACATTTGGCTTATTGTTGATGGCGTCCAAGTGTGCCTCTGTATGATTCAGGGGAAAGGCACAAAATGAAATGCAATGTTCTCTTTCCTGTTAAGTTTGTGCCTACGGGAGTGAGAATATGAAGGAATCCTTCTGAACTATTTAAGTCTGTAGAAAACCTCTGATATGTATGTTGTAAACAGAAATGACTTTGAATGTTTTTGTCTCAGTTGTAAATTTAGAACAGCAGGCAAAAGAAGTTTTTTTTAGTGAGATCATCTTGTTTTATAGGATCTTTCCTTCTAAGACCTAGGTACAGATTTGGGTGGTAAAGAACTTTAATTGGGAAGCCCACCTGGTTTACACCCCCCAAGATCTATTCTCCAGTGTTTTCCTCTGCACATTCTACAAGTATTCTCTTAAATAATATCCAGGTTATCTTTTGGTCTGGAATTTTTTTCATTTTTGCTCAGCTCAGCTGTAATTTAGATTTTATAGCAGCAGCTACTCTCAAATATAGTTTTTTTAACATCTAAAATTAAACTCATTCATGAACTTAAACATACCTTTCTGTCTTTCTCTTGGGATATTTCCATACCATTCTGTATTTCCTTCTTCTCTCCATTCTGCATGCCCAAAATTCTATAACCCAGCACATTCTGACTTAGTGTCTCTCCCCCAGTACATTTAAAGGATATTTCTTCTACCGAACAGCTTTAGAACGGCAGCAGTAATAGAAACAGAATGAGAAATGGACCTAATATAGAGATTTGGGGGGGTCTGAATCATAGAGTTTGAGATGCCATCCATAGAACATCCCCTAGTGCTGAAATCCATATAGATAGATGTGAATTGTTTTCTGAAATCCTTTTTATTTTTAATGTCTTGGGGGGGTTTGCTGGTTGTTAGCTTTAACTTCCTTATCTAAAGGAAGATGGAAAATACCGTTCATTTCTGTAACCCTATGGAAAAATTATTGACACTCATTTTACCCAAGCCTCTGTTTGAAAAAGAAACTGGACCACGCTAGGAACAATGATGTGCCTTCATAGCAGAACAAATGCTGTTCTGTTTTAAAGGACCTTTTGTAAAAAATCATTCACCACCCTCTGTGTTCTTTTTCTTTGCCTCCTCCCCCTACTGAAAGCTCGGGGTTTGGATCATATTGCTGAGAACATTCTGTCATACCTGGATGCCAAATCACTATGTGCTGCTGAACTTGTGTGCAAGGAATGGTACCGAGTGACCTCTGATGGCATGTTATGGAAGAAGCTCATCGAGAGAATGGTCAGGACAGATTCTTTGTGGAGAGGCCTGGCAGAACGAAGAGGGTGGTGAGCCTTTAACTTTCTTACTATTACAGGGCCTCAGGACCTGGCCGTTCACAGTCACTGAAAGATTTTTTGGGAGCTGGTGAGACGATTTCTCATTTAATATGGTGATTTTGCTGATTTGTAGCTTAAAATGTAACAAAGAACAATTGTTCATGTACTCAGCAGTTTTTCTTTTTACCTATCACTCAAAAAATGACATGATATTGTATTAATACTGCTTTGCAAAAAATAATGGAAAGCTGACCAGGCCTCCTGTTTAAAGCATTCTGTTCTCTGTACAGAAGTTGGTGTCCTGTGGCTGGGTACAGTGGTTCATGCCTGTAATCCCAGCACTTTGGGAGGCCCAGGTGGGCAGATCACTTGAGGCCAGGAGTTTCAGACCAACCTGGCCAGCATGGCAAAACCCCGTCTCTACTAAAAATACAAAAGTTAGCTGGGTGTGGTGGCGTGCACCTATAATCCCATCTACTCTGGAGGCTGAGTCAGAAGAATCACATGAACCCAGGAAGTGGATGTTGCAATGAGCAGAGATCGAGTCATTACACTCCAGCCTGGGCTACAGAGCATATCTTTGTCTCAAAAAGAAAGAAAGAAGTTGGTATCCTGCAAAAGGGCTCGTGGGCAATTTATGAGGCAAGTAGATGACTTTGAATCACATAGAAACCATCCAGTCTAGCTTTCCCCTAAAATAATCTAGGACAAATGATTTTCTTTTCTTTCAGAAAATTTCTTGCCTTTATCTTATGCCTCTGGTGTTTTGTCACCTTTATAATCAAAAATTATTTTTATGCCCAAGTAGAGTAAGAACTTTAGCTATCAGAAAAAGTGAAAATGAAATGCAATATAAATCATTGTTTCTTCTTAAGACTTCTGTTTTTCAAGATTTTCTGGTTTAATTTAGAATTCCTTGAAGCATCATATAGTTAGCAGCTTAAGAGACTTCACTAATTTTTTGTTATTCTCTTAATAGCACCATTTCATTAGAACTTTTGGAAGATGTCTTTCTTTAAATAATTTTCTCTCCAAGTAATCGTTCATAAAGGTGACATATTAAATATTTTAGTTGACAGAAAAAACGATAATAGGCATGTGTGTGCTTCATAGTGTCCTTCCACATTAATTTTATCAGTTGTTTATCTTGCCTCATAAAGAGGAAAACAAGTACAGAGAACACTTTTAAAAGACTAATTTTCATTTATCAGCTTTCCTTAGAAATTTCATGAAAATATAGTTGGCTCTTTTTTTTTCTGTCTTTGAAACTTATTAACACATAATAAATACATTGACCTATAAATATTATACCAAATGCTTCAGAGATTTTTATCATTCTGGCTATTAGGAAGACTGTTTAAATTTTTCTCTCAAATTGATTTAAGGGAACAAAAAAATAGACAATTTTTAGGCTATGTAACAATTACATAGTAAAAGAATATTGTTGTCCAGGTGGCTCACTTCTGTAATCCCAACACTTTTGGAGTCCAAGGCAAGAGGATCGCTTGAGCCCAGGAGTTTGAGACCAGCCTGAGCAACAGAGTGAGACCTCATGTCTACAAAAAAAAAGAAAAGTAAAAAAATTAGCTGGGCCTGATGGTGTGTGCCTGAAATCCCACTACTCAGGAGGCTGAGGTGGGAGGATGGCTTGAGCCTGGGAAGTTGAGGCTGCAGTGAGCTGTCATCATGCCACTGTACTCCAGCCTGGGCAATAGGGCAAGACCCTCTCTCTGTCTGTCTGTCTGTCTGTCTGTCTCTGTCTCTGTCTCTGTCTCTGTCTCTCTCTCTCTCTCTCTCTCTCACACTGTCTCTCTCTCACACACACACACACATATACACACACACACGAATATTATTATGACTTCTTTTTAAATTCTCACTTATTTCACTACATAGAAAAAATAAAAATCTTACCTTTCATAACCTACTTCATACGTTAAAAATAAACTCTATATAATAGTACAACAAAGCTAATAAAAATAGAGTTATATGGCATTCAGGGTCCATCATGTTGCTAAGAGGGCTGGGACCAGCCTTGGGAATACAGTAGGTAATTGTTTACATGGGAAAATTTTAGGGCAGCTGAGAAGATTTTTCTATCCTCAGGAAAAAAAAAAGAATCTTTTCCAAATAACTCCTGAAATTTCAATTAAGGAGATTCATTCCTTTAGCTATAAAGGTTCTGTTCCCTGTTAAAATACATTGTGTTCTCATTTGTACTGTAAATGACAATAAGCCTTCATCAGACATTGGGAGTTTACTATGTCCTTTTTTGAAAGCAGAGAGATCAAGAAGTAAGTGGACATTTTCTTGACAGATGGATGTGAAAATGCCAAAAGTAAAAGTAGGCTCCGCAGTTTTGCCTGGGATTGGCACTAAATGATAAGAACTGCTATGTTAGTTACAAATAAAAAATGATCATTGAGAAGACGACTTTTGAGCCATTTTAAAGGGTAGGTGAAGAATATAGGATCCAGCACTAAGTAACACATTTTCCCCCTATCTCTTCATCCACAGAAACCCATTTCTGCTCTTTGAGTATTTTTCAGAGTTCTGACTATATCCCCTTGTCTTTGGGCACATGTATCCTCTTAATCCCATGATATTACCCATGAAATTGCAAATAATCCACCCCATGTTGACCTCCTCCAGTATTCCTTCGACTTTCTTGCTGCTTCTGTTTTTACATGTTGCCTTTATTCCTGTGTCAATTGTCCTCCCTTAAAAAAAATTGACTCCAGCTGGGCACAGTGGCTCACACTTGTAATCCCAGCACTTTGAGAGGTTGAGGCAGGTGGATCATGAGGTCAGGAGATCGAGACCATCCTGGCCAACATGGTGAAACCCTGTCTCTACTAAAAATGCAAACATTAGCTGGGCATGGTGGTGTGTGCCTGTAATCCCAGCTACTTGGGAGGCTGAAGCAGGAGAATCATTTGAACCCGGAGTTGGAGGTTGCAGTGAGCCAAGATCGCGCCACTGCATTCCAGCCTTGTGACAAAGCAAGACTCCATCTCAAAAAAAAAAAAAAAATTTACTCCATCAGTTTCTCATTTTCTTCTTTCGAGTGGTTTTACCAAGCCTGATACATCAATAAAATCTTTCCATGTTATCCCTTTTGCCATATGCTAGCTTTGAAAGGTTCTTCCACTGGACTCAGTGGCACATGCCTGTAGTCCCAGCTACTTGGGAGGCTGAGGTGGGACTACAGGCATGAGGAGTCCCAACTCCTCGCTTTAGCCTAGGAGTTCTGGGCTGTAGTGCGCTATGCCCATCGGGTGTCTGTAATAAGTTCAGCATCAATATGGTGACCTCTCGGGAGCAAGGGGGCCACCAGGTCGCGTAAGGAGGGGTGAACTGGCCCAGGTCAGAAACGAAGCAGGTCAAAACTCCCGTGCTGATCAGTAGTGGGATCGCACCTGTGAATAGCCACTGCTCCAGCCCGGGCAACATAGTGAGGCCCCTGTCTCTAAAAAAATAAAAGAAAAAAAAGAAAGATTCTTCCATTTCTACTAACCCAAAATGGTAAGTAAATACAGCTTTCTAATAAAGCTTTGTATCTCTAAATTTTCATTTGGTCTTTGATGTTGTATTTTGTCTAGATGGATTTGACAGTCTTCCCCTGAGACATGAACTCTGTAGTTTTCTCTCTTCGATAACAGTGAATACGATCTCTGCTCAGTAATGGTAACTCTTAAAAGTACAATAAAAGACCACTTGGGAAAAGTCCATTTTTTTAATCAGCAGATCACATTTTACGATAACATTCTGAATTTAATATTTAACATTCATCATGTACTTACCTTCTCATAGGTACAAGGCATTTCACATAGTAGTAGTCCCTGTTGTCAAAGATCTTCCATCATAAAAGGTTTTGACTTAAAACATAAAGACAGAAGCCACTTTTCAATACTTAGCCACCCCTTTCTGTAGCACTTTGATTTGAATAAATTCAGATACCTTACCAAGACATGATAAATGCAGTGAGGTGGAAAACAAAAACAGAACCTTACATGGGTTCTCTTTCCTTAGAATGTAGAGATAGTATCATTGGATAGGAAGAAAATCTTGGAGTGCTAGAGATTAAAAGAAGACAGGAATCTCAGGAATGGTGGGCATTGAGAAACATTAAAGTAGTTAAGAATGTGGACTCAGGAGTCAGACTTAAAACCTTCACATTCAAAATCTATTATTTGCCTGCAAAGTGTTTATAGAATAATATTGTACAGAGTAATGTACCATTATTCCAGAATTCTTTCATAATACATCTTGTTTGACCTTTGGTTTATGCTGGTGTATCATGTTTCATTAATCCCCCTTTTTATGAGTAGTATTTTCTCTATTTCAGATTTTCTCTTCTGTATTAACATAGAAGTTAGAGCCAGCTACCTTCCTGATAGGAAATTTTCTCAACTAATTTTCAAGGTGTATAATAGGGAGAGGGCAGAGGAGAAGCACTCCTGGAGACACCAAACAATTAATTACATTGTAATGGAGCTATAGAGGGAGGAGTGGATGACTGGCCCTGAGAAAACGTGATTTCTCTGGTGCCAGGATTACACTCAGAGGCATTTCTGCCTATCTCCACTTTGCAAGGCACGGTGCCAGTGAGAACAGCAGTTAGTACACCCATAGTGGGGTTTACTAGCTTCCACACCGTGTTTGGTGGGTTCTTAACTTCAGGATGAGGAATTAAATTTTTTACCCAGCAGGAAGTGATTGCCATTTACTGATTTTTTTTTTGTAGTAAAGATCTAGCTTGGGATATGAGTATTCCAGAGATGTGCTGTCATAAGGAAGGAGATACTAACAAATGCTGCTCACTGGAATCAGGGAAGGCAGTTAAGTACATGTATGTATGTACACAGCCAGGAACACACCTATGAAAGTCAGTTTTATGCCTTAGACTTGATAGCACAGTGCTCTTAGGCATTTCTGTTTATCTTCTTCCCTACCTGCCGCTGGACACACCTGTGATCCTTTTGTTGTCTATTGAAATGAACTGAATTGCTCATTTCAAAGAATAGTTGCACTGATCAGCAGCAGCCTGGGTGACTGAGCAGCCACCATATCTTACCCCACACAAATAAAGACCTAGAAAAAGTGATCTCCATCACAGGCATTGCTTGTTGTCTACAATGCAGGGGGTCCACCGACATAGTTAAAAAAAAAAAAAAAAGACTCGGGGGTATGTGCTAGTGCAAAGGTAGTAGTTACCGTTACTAACAAAATTTCCAAAAGATGAGGCCAGTGAATCTATGCAGTAGTCTTAATAGACCAGTAGATGAATTCTGATTATACATATTCCATTTGTCTACTCATAATATTCTAAAGGTTTGGTACTCCAATGTTCTACACTAGAAATAATGTTTTACCCAAAAGCAAATCAATGTTAGGCAGATTCCTTAGAGACCAGAAGGCTGAAACCAAGATTACTTTTGCACCTCCCCAGGCAGCTTTGGAGAGTATATAGAATGATAACTGTGAAAACACTTTGAAAATATATGAAGCTCCTTACAGATATGTTGGCTGGGCATGGTAGCTCATGCCTGTAATCCCAGCACTTTGGGAGGCCATGTGGGCGGATCATTTGAGGCCTGGAGTTTGAGACCAGCCTGACCAACATTGTGAAACCCCGTCTCTGCTGAAATACAAAAATTAGCTGGGCGTGGTAGTAAACGCCTGTAATCGCAGCTACCAGGAGGCTGAGGCAGGCGAATTGCTTGAACCCAGGAGGCGGAGGTTGCAGTGAGTCAACATCACACCACTGCACTCCAGCCTGGGCAACAGAGCGAGACTCTGTCTCAAAAAATAAATAAATAAATATTTAATGTCATGATTTTCATTGGGAAATATTTGTTTTTTTTTTAGGGGACAGTATTTATTCAAAAACAAACCTCCTGATGGAAATGCTCCTCCCAACTCTTTTTATAGAGCACTTTATCCTAAAATTATACAAGACATTGAGGTAAGAATCTATGTATTTGGGGGTATTTTCCAAATGGTACAGCTTTCTTCAGTTGCAGTATGGTTACACCAAGCCCATTAAGGTTTATTGACGTGAGTTGAAAATCAATGTCTAGGCTGGCTTGGTGGCTCACACCTGTAATCCCAGCACTTTGGGAGGCCAAGGCAGGTGGATCACCTAAAGTCAGGAGTTCGAGACCAGCCAGACTAACATGATGAGACACCATCTCTACTAAAAATACAAAAACTAGCCAGGCATGGTGGCACACATCTGTAACCCCAGCTACTCAGGAGGCTGAGGTAGGAGAATTGCTTGAACTTGGGAGGCAGATGTTGCAGTGAACAAAGATCGTGCCACTGCACTCCAGCTTGAACGACAGAGTGAGACTTTGTCTCAAAAAAAAACAGAAAGAAAAAATCAATCTCTTTATAGGTAAGTAGGGTAGGTTGCTAGGCAAAATTTTAAAGCTTTAAAAAATTGTTTACTAATAGATAAGTAGATGAAAGAGAGTTAAAGAGATTGATCCCTTCATATAATAGCAGTGTGACTGGTAAACTTGTACCCATAAGCTCATATTTAAATATCTTCTGAATTCAACCACCATAGAAGTTTGTCAGTAACAATGGCCATCACATATGTAAGAGCACTGAACATATAACCTCACATAGTTCGTAGCTTTTCTTCTCTTAATGAGTCATCTCTTCCCACCAGATTTATTATTTATTTGAACAAATTATATGCAGGGAGTTCTAGAAAAAATATTTAATTACCTTGCAAAAGGAAAAATATTTTATAAATTTAGATGGTAGCTTTTTTTATAGATATTTTTTAGTTTTCCCTAAGCTATGTATCTCGCACAAAGTAAAGCATTAAGTTATTGATTGCCATTAAAGCCCAAAAAGGGTTTGGTTTTAGGTGTTTCCTAATTACTACCTCTTTACCTTTCTGTCTTTTCAGACAATTGAATCTAATTGGAGATGTGGAAGACATAGTTTACAGAGAATCCATTGCCGAAGTGAAACAAGCAAAGGAGTTTACTGTTTACAATATGATGATCAGAAAATAGTAAGCGGCCTTCGAGACAACACAATCAAGGTGAGGTCTGTTCAGTTGTAGGAAGGTAGCTGAGGGAGCAAGGGCGACCACATTCATAATGCAGTCCACAGCATAAACTCTAAGCATTATTTCTAGAAAGTAAGTGAAGATTTTAGATTGTTTCCAGTCCCAAAGCCAAAATCATTTCCTTAAAGGACAGACATCTGCTTCCCCCCAGAATACTATACAAATGAGTAGTCTCTAGGGTTAAATTATCTTCTTGAAATGAACTGAATGGGCTATTTCTCTTTTGGCCCTCACATAATTATTGGCTACCCTGTTCTCTAATAAAAAGGATAAAGGTTTGTATTAGTACTGAAGCCGTGTGTGTGTGTGTGTGTGTGTGTGTGTGTGTGCGCGCGCGTGCGCTTAGCTATACCTATAGGAAAGAATGCATTCCACACTACTCTGGGCTTTGATTATTTTGGGAGATCAAATACATAATAGGACCAACAAGTCTCCACAGCTCCCCATCATCACATTGATCAAAAGGATCTTATTTGCCATCCTAGATCTGGGATAAAAACACACTGGAATGCAAGCGAATTCTCACAGGCCATACAGGTTCTGTCCTGTGTCTCCAGTATGATGAGAGAGTGATCATAACCGGATCATCGGATTCCACAGTCAGGTAGAAAATTTCAGATGCTCTTGTGAACTCTGAAACATCAGCTCTGCTCTGTTCTTTGTCATAGATAGTAATTTTGTATATATCGGCACAGTTCTGAAGCTAAAGAAGAATATACCACCGAGTCCCCATCATTTGTGTCAGTCTAGAACTAGAAAACTTGATTTAGGAATGCTTGAGGTAAGTTTACATTTTCGCACATTTAAGAAACTACACATACTATTTTAATTTGGAGAATCATCTATTACAGAAACTTTTCTTATCCTTATGGTAAGCCTTGCATTATAAAAACCACCTCACAGGGGAATGGCATGAACATAATGAAGCCTTCCTTTTAGGTGGTTGTAACTGTAGTGCAGGTCTGCATTATCTCCTTTGAAACATGTACAGGTGAGCTGTACTCTCTTTGTCAGCCCCTCCCGTGCCGTCCCTGCAGTTTTTAATTGCGAGCTTCACTCAGGGAAGGGCCCTCAATTTCCAGAGGCGTTAGTGATTTGATGACACAGTCATTATACTGCTGGAGTCCAGGATAGCTTGAGTTTTGAGTACCAGCAGCACTGCTGGGAACTTCTGTTAGGAATTTTTCCTTAAGCTGAAGGATTTAGCAAACATAATGCATCAAAAGTAACTTTAAAAAAATAAAATAAACCTAGGAAAAAAAGCAGTTAACTGCATTGTTAGATACTCTGAAGTTAAATGTTTACCATTCCAAGTTATACTCTGTGAATAGAAAAGACCGTTCGTGGTTTTTGTCTTTTGACTTAAAGGCATAGCAAACTCAGTCCTTGTAGTTATTGACATTTAACATTTATTGGTGCTTGTGGAGCAAGTGCCTCACTGAATCTGAAACACTGTAGATGCTAACATCATTTATAAGATAAAGAAAAAATGATACTCTATAAAAGGGGGCTAAACTGGAAAAAGGAAATAACATGTTATAAAACCCAAAGTAAATACACAAAAATAGAATAATCAAATATATCATCACACAAAATTCCCAAGCTGTCCAAGGGCCCCATACTCTTCTGTGAGGCCTGTATTTACAATGAGAGGGCTATTTGAAACCCCTACCCACTTCAAAGCACAGAAATGAGGGCTTAGAATTAAGAGTTGTGGTTATCTTGGCCTTTGACCTCTATGATAAAACCTGAGATCCAGGGTAATCAAACCTCAATTTACATTACTAAGTATGTGACAGAAGCATGTTGGCCTATGTCATTTCTGACTCCTGAGGGCTATTACTGGAATGGGTACTGATGCTACTGTTATTAAAATCAGATTCCCCATTTAAAATGTATCTTATTAATGGTATCAAATTGAATGTCAGAAGTTTTATAATAATCTTCAAGTCTGGGCCAAATTATTAGGTGACAGTGGCTGCCACCTCATCCTTGCCCTCCACAACTTGCCCATATTGAAAGCAGTGTGCCTAAAGGACACACTGGCAACATCCCATCCCCTTCCTTCTCCCACTCTCCCAGTCTGGGCTTCTCTCTACCACTTTCCCATGATCCATCAGTATGTACCTCAGCTCAGTGCTGCAAAAGAATTAGAGTAGAATTATGACACTTCCCATGAAAATATGAGGGGTGGCAGGGCATATGATGGTCAAATATAGATAACAGACTGTAGCTTGAGTACCTTCTAAGTCTCATGTGTCACTTCCAGAGTGTGGGATGTAAATACAGGTGAAATGCTAAACACATTGATTCACCATTGTGAAGCAGTTCTGCACTTGCGTTTCAATAATGGCATGATGGTGACCTGCTCCAAAGATCGTTCCATTGCTGTATGGGATATGGCCTCCCCAACTGACATTACCCTCCGGAGGGTGCTGGTCGGACACCGAGCTGCTGTCAATGTTGTAGACTTTGATGACAAGTACATCGTTTCTGCATCTGGGGATAGAACTATAAAGGTAATCAGGTATTTTGAGTAAGTCTCCAACTTAGAATAGGGGAATTCATATGAAAATTTGATCAAGGGCAATGTCATATTTAAACATCACTGAAGAAATATGTAGTATTTATTTCAGAGACTAGTCTACAAGTGAAAAGGTAATAAATGAGATGTTGTGTGACAATATGGGCTAGGTATTTTATTCCTATAAATAATGGTGAGTGTGAGAAGGGCAGGGGCAAATTTAGGGTCAAGAAAAATGTATCTGCAAGATCAGACTAACCCTAGAAGAGTAAATCAGTTTAAGGAATTCTCTCGATAACAGCCAACTGCAAATTAGCCTGTATTACCACAAATTTAAATTGTCTTTTGCTCTGTTTGAGAATTTGACTGCCCTTTAAATGCAGGCGTCCCCATACTTTTTACACAGGGGGCCAGTTCACTGTCCCTCAGACCGTTGGGGGGCCGCCACATACTGTGCTCCTCTCACTGACCACCAATGAAAGAGGTGCCCCTTCCTGAAGTGCGGCAGGGGGCCGGATAAATGGCCTCAGGGTATGCGGCATGTGGGCCGTAGTTTGGGGACACCTGCTTTAATGGTTCAGTCTTGTTTTCTGCTTCCCTAAGACTCCGGTTGCCATAGATTTTACCAGTAAAAGCACCAAATCAATTGCCCAATGCCATTTTCTTTTTCAGGTATGGAACACAAGTACTTGTGAATTTGTAAGGACCTTAAACGGACACAAACGAGGCATTGCCTGTTTGCAGTACAGGGACAGGCTGGTAGTGAGTGGCTCATCTGACAATACTATTAGGTGAGCAGCAAGTGCCTTTTATCATGAAAGATCAATATTATGCTCCCATTCATTATTAGTGCACAGATCATACAAGTCTTCAGTTTTGTTATGTTTATAATCAACTGTTTTTCCTTTTTGTAGCTTCTTACAGGTCAGAAGCAGAGAGGCAGCACAACAAAGCCTTTTGTTACCCATCTTTTTTTTTTTTTTTTTTTTTTAAATGCAGTCTTGCTCTGTTGCCCAGGCTGGAGTGCAGTGGTGTGATCTTGGCACACTGCAACCTTTGCCTCCCAGGTTCAAGTGATTTTACTGCTTCAGCCTCCTGAGTAGCTGGGATTACAGGCATGTGCAACCACACCCAGCTAATTTTTGTATTTTTAGTAGAGACGGGATTTCACCATGTTGCTTAGGCTGGTCTCAAACTCCTGACCTCGTGATCTACCAGCCTCAGCCTCCTGAAGTACTGGTGTGAGCCATCGTGCCCCGTCATTGCCCTTCTTTTTAAATTTCTCCTGTCTACAGTTGCAAAATGCTATTAAGTTTTCTCTTTGCCAATGTTTTTAAGAAGTGAAAAGAAAGATTTGTTTCCTTACTAAAAATTATGTAATTTTGGTCTTAGCATTACATAATTGGCCAGAGAGTTACCTGTCCTTGAAATTATGAAGATTTCACAGTTGGAAGTTGTTTTTGGGTTTTCTCTTCACAAAGATGAATGATGTAGATATTACTAGAATTTGAAAGATCTATCCATCCTCTCTCTTCAGTGAAGTACTAAAAGGATGAAAAGGCTACTAAAAAAACCAACAGATAGAGCTACTGTTATATCTAAGGAAATTATTCCTAGAAATCACTTGAATTGTTCTGAAAAATAATTTCAGAACATACGGTTTTTAAAATTAGTAGACAAAAGTTTTTGAGAACTGACTTTGCATTTCCATTCTCTGAGAAAAACTGTCCTGGACAGTGGTGAAAGAAGTGTCCACTGTGGCAGAGGGGGAAGTGCTTTGTGAGAACAGGACATCACTGATAATCTGTATCTCATTCGGTATGGTGACTTCAGGAAACTGGTCATTTTCTTCTCAGGCAACTGTGTGCCTTGAATTCATCATTTTTATGCCTGGAAGAACCTGGTTACAGAATTATATAAAGCATTATACTTTGAAAATACATATTACATTTGAACTTAAACCTACATTTTTCTGAGTTATATAGCAGAAAGGAAATAAATTACATTGAAAACGGTACATTCTGTGTGGGTGGTGATTGATTATATTTTGTGAGTTTTTAGAAGGCATATGAAGTGTATTATAACACTCCAGACTTCGAAAAGAATATGTGAAAATTCACTTGACTCAATTTTCTCTTCCAGATTATGGGACATAGAATGTGGTGCATGTTTACGAGTGTTAGAAGGCCATGAGGAATTAGTGCGTTGTATTCGATTTGATAGCAAGAGGATAGTCAGTGGGGCCTATGATGGGTGAGTGTGCTAACAGAGTGTAAAAAAAAGAAAATCTACCTCTTAATCCTTCCTTATGTTTATGGTGTTAAACATAACCATTCCTTGTTTCTAAAAGCTTATAGATTTTACACAAAGTGTCTGATACCATATTTTTTTTAATCTGTATATTCACCTCTCCTTGGTTTAGTGTCCTGAAATATTCTTTCCAATCATTTTATTATACTTGTTTGCACAAGGTTGTCATTAATATTTTGTTATTTGGTTATGTTTTTGGCTGTTTTGCCCTGTAAAGCAGAGAGCAAGAGAAACCCAGTGTTAACAGGATACACAAGTGGTAACCTGTTAACAAAACAAAAACATTAGAGGGCAGAATTTGGGGACTTGGTATGGTAGGATCTTGAATTTTGATTTCTTTGATTTTTGATCTCTTTGAGTAATTTTTAAGAATACATTTTCTCTTGTCATCACTTGTCATCCTAGCATTTCATTTATAATGAGTTTAGTCATCTTTATTTTCTTCTAATTTCTAGTGGTTATGGAATCCATTCATGTTGTGAATGGACCCCATGTCCACCAATCCTAAACACAGTAAATTCAAACAAAAGTAAGCTGGGCACAGTGGCTCATGCCTGTAATCCCAGCACTTTGGGAAGCCAGGATGAGTGGATCACTTGAGATCAGTAGTTTGAGACCTGCCTGGCCAATATGGCAAAACCCAGTCTCTACTGAAAATAAAAAAAATTAGCCAGACGTAATTGCAGGTGCCTGTAATCCCAGCTACTCGGGAGGCTGAGGCAGGAGAATTGCTTGATTCAGGGAGGCAGAGGTTGCAGTGAGCCAAGATCACGCCACTGTACTCTAGCCTGGGCAACAGAGCGAGACTCCGTCTCAAAAAAAAAAAAAAAAGCGTATTCACTTATGAAGGACTCTTTATCATTTCTTTTTGTCAAAGTGTTTGATTTTGAGGGTGAAGGGTAGAAGGCTACAGTTCAAATATTGGCAGCTTTTTACATATCAGAAGCTAACACATTATTTTACGTCATGAGCTTACTATACTGATACATTCATTAGCCAACACAAACAGCAGGAAGTGTAGACTGCTCACTTCTGCTTTGAGTCAGCCATCACTGTTATAAACTTGGGAAACTGTTCAGAGTGTGGTGACATGTTCCAGCTCAGTCAAGACTATATTTTCTCATTGCCCTGGCTCTGATCTGTACCCACCTTTCTTGGAATTTGTCTGTTATGTACCTTGAGGAAACACGGCTATAAAAGATTTTTCAAAGAGCTACACTTACCTTATTTAAATCAAAACATAAGGGCTTGCCTGTATAAACTCCAGTACTCTTACATGGACCCCAGTCCCTCAGTATATGTGACCTGAGCTACTCTTAGAAGTGACCAGGAGGAGGATGCCTCAGAGTTGTAGATTTCTAGGTCTGTGTAATATCTTATCATTAAGAGGTCTAATGTACAAGATCTCCTCTTGATCCCAAAGTATGGTATAACTTCACCATTAACTGTCTTCAGTTTGGTTAAAGCTAGCCTGTTTCTCATTTTTAGGTTAATCACATACATGTAAACTATATTCCCCATCCATAGTTATTACCATGAATTTTTGCTGTTCTTCCTGTGTTCCCTTACTTTTGCTTTTAACTAACATTTTTGTCCCCGTTTTGATCTTCAGAAAAATTAAAGTGTGGGATCTTGTGGCTGCTTTGGACCCCCGTGCTCCTGCAGGGACACTCTGTCTACGGACCCTCGTGGTAAGAGCCTTGTTGTTTAGAGAGCATTGGAGAGCAGGTGGGGGAAGAAATTAAACATTGATGTGCTGTGGAGTATGGATTTGGATTTAATAGTTACAACATCGGCCGGTCACGGTGGCTCACGCCTGTAATCCCAGCACTTTGGGAGGCCGAGGCGGGTGGATCACGAGGTCAAGAGATCGAGACCATCCTGGTCAACACGGTGAAACCCCGTCTCTACTAAAAATACAAAAAATTAGCTGGGCATGGTGGCGCATGCCTGTAATCCCAGCTACTCAGGAGGCTGAGGCAGGAGAATTGCCTGAACCGAGGAGGCGGAGGTTATGGTGAGCCAGGATCGTGCCATTGCACTCCAGCCTGGGTAACAAGAGCGAAACTCTGTCTCAAAAAAAAAAAATAAATAGTTACAGGATCACAAAACCTACAACTAAGTGGTAAGGCAACAGACATACAATAAAATCTGTTTATATAGCCTTTCATCCAAAAATGCTTTAGAGACTGTATATGGACAGAAATGTGACAGCTGCACAGCAACTCTACACACAGTTTAGTGCAGGAAGTGAATAAGAATTCTGTGTCCACCAGAAACAGCAGGGGGTACTAAGGAAGTGAGAATATAATTGTTTGAATTGGAACCTGTCCAAAATCTGAGGACCTGTACATCTGTGCCTTCAAAAAGTGCCCTGGGGGCCAGGTGCAGTGGCTAACATCTGTTATCCCAGCACCTTGGGGAAGTCAAGGTGGGTGGATCACCTGAGGTCCGCAAGACCAGCCTAACCAACCTGGTGAAACCCCATCTCTACTAAAATTAGCCAAGTGTGGTGGCAGGCACCTATAATCCCAGCTACTCAGGAGGCTGAGGCAGGAGAATCATTTGAACCCGGGAGGCAGAGATTGCAGTGAGCCAGATCATGCCATTGCACTCCAGCATGGGCAACAAGAGTGAAACTCCATCTCAGAAAAAGTACCCTGGGAATCTGCATGAACCCCCATGGTCAGCCCCTTAGTTCTCCAGCCTCTTCAAAAGCTAGTACCTCCAGCAATTTGAACCCATCTTTTTTATTCCCTATATACCCCCTTTTGACATCTGGGGGAAAAAAGTGATTCAAAAGGAGGAATATCACCTTCAGAAGCACCAAATTGTTTATCATGTTGTTAGCCAAGGGCACAGATTGATAAATGCTGCTTCCATTCAAAAATTAGTTGAGCAACAGGGTAGACAGAATCTTTTGCACAACTCAGAGAAAAGATGAGAGCAGGCCTATGAAGCCCAGTGTTCTATGTCCTGACTGTCAGCATTTGGCATTCTTTGCTCTGGAGAAGAGAAAGCAGTTACATTTGTTGTCTTCCTTGTTGGATTTATGTGTGTATGTATAAGACAAGGTCTTCCGCTGTCATCCAGGCTGTAATGAAGTGGCACAGTCATAGCTCATTGCAACTCCAACTCCAGGACTGAAGCAGTACTCCTGCCTTAGCCCTCCAGTGTAGCTGGTGTTACAGACTTGAGCCACAGCACCTTTTTAATTTTTTGTGGAAACAGGGTCTCACTGTGTTGCCCAGGCTGGTCTTAAAACTCCTGGCCTCAAGTGATCCTCCTGCCTTAGCCTCCCAAAGTGCTGGGATTACAAGTGAGAGCCACTGTACCCTGCCCCTTGTGGTATTTAAAGCACATTGTTACCATACCTAACATGCTTTACCTGCATGTTTCACGCATGTCTTTTAAAATGTATACCTTTTCTTTTTAAGAGACCCTGTCTCTTAAAAAAAAATGGCTATGTTTTAAATACAACAAGGGCAGGGCATAGTTGCCCAGGCTGGAGTGCAGTGGCTATTAACATAGCTTACTGTACCCTCAAACTGCTGAACTGAAGTGATCCTTCTGCCTCTGCCTCCCTGTGCCAGACCTAAAATGTGTATTTTCATTCATTTATAATTAATCTAAGTCTGGTTTTTGAGGCATAATTTCCATACAGCAAAATTCACTCTTTTTAAGACATTTTTCTGTTAATTTTGCAGTTGTATAACCATCACATCAACATACACATTTTCATCATCCTCAGGAGTTCTTTATGCCCCTTCATGTCAGTTTACTCCCCCTACCCACTAGCAACTGTTATCAACTGTTCATCTGATTTTTATCCCTATAGTTTGTTTTATTATGAACATCTGATAAATCATGGAGTATGCAGCCTTTTGTGTTTGGCTTTGAGATTCATCCGTGTGATTGTATGTATACTTTCCTGCTTTTTATTGCTGAGTGGTATTCCATTATGTGAATGAGCCAGTTTGTTTATTCATTCGGTTTAAAGATATTTGGAATGTTCCCTGTTTTTGCTGATTCTTAGTAAAGCCACTGAAAACATTTCCATACAGGCTTTTCTATGTTCACACTGTTTTCATTTCTCTTGGGTAATATAGAAGTGTGATTTCTGTATTTTATGAAAGTGTATGCTTAAATTTAAAAGAAACCGCCAAGCTGTTTCCCAGAGTGGCATGGGATTTTGCAAATTGAGACCAGTCTGGGCAACACAGCAATACCTCATCCCTGTTTATTTATTAAATTTTTTTAAAATTTAAACATTTTATATTTTCACCAACAATGTGTAATAGTTCAATTTTTCTATATCCTTGCCAGCACTTGCTATCGTCAGTATTTTTTTTTAATTAGAGCCATTTGTAGGGGTGTGTAGTGATGTATCATTGTCGATTTAATTTGCCTTTCTATTGTAGCTAATAATACTGAAAAAAGATTTTTATGAATGCTTATCTTCTTTTGTAACCATTTTATTTATTGAGTTTTTTATTAAAATAGATTTATTGAGGTATAATTGACATTATAATGGACATACTGAAAGTGTACAACTTGGCCAGGCGTGTAGTCTCAGCCCTTTGGGAGGCTATGGCACATGGATTGCTTGAGCTCAAGAGTTAAAGACCAGCCTGGGCAACACATAGTGAGACCTCATCTCTATAAAAAATAAATTAAAGATTAGCCAGGTATGGTAATGAGCACCTGTACTCCCAGCTACCTGGGAGGCTGAGGTGGGAGGATTGCTTGAGTTAGTGCACTCCAGCCTGGGCAACAGTGAGACCCTGTCTCAAAAATAAAGTGTACAAGTTAATAAATTTTGATATATATATATATATATATATACCAGTGAAACCATAAATAATGAAGATATATGCTCATGCCTCTTGGTTAATCCCTCCTTCCTTTCCTATCAGATTCCATCCCACCTCCCTCCTGCCCCAGTCTCCAGGCAACCACAAATCTGCTTTCTTTCAACATTGATTAGTTTGCATTTTCTGGGGTTGTATGAAAAAGGAATCATATATTATGTGCTTTCTTGCCTGTCGCTTTTCATTAAGCATAATTTCTTTTTTTTTTTTTTTTTTGAGATGGAGTCTTGCTCTGTCACCAGTGGCACAATCTCGGCTCACTGCAACCTCTGCCTTCTGGGTTCAAGCAGTTCTCCTGCCTCAGCCTCCCAAGTAGCTGGGACTACAAGCACACGCCACCACGCCCAGCTAATTTTTGTTTTGTTTTTTTTTTAGTAGAGATGAGGTTTCACTATGTTGGCCAACATGGTCTCAATCTCTTGACCTCATGATCTGCCCACCTCAGCCTCCCAAAGTCTTGGGATTACAGGCATGAGCCACCACACCCAGCCTCTAAGCATAATTTTTTTTGAGAGTCACCCATCAATTATTTCATTTGTTTTGAAAATTTGCTAAGTAGTATTCTATTGTATTGTAACAATACCCATTCACTAACTGTTTCCCATTTTGGGCTGTTATTAACAAAGTTTCTATGAACACAAATGTCTTGGGATGAATTCATAAAAGTCTTAGGATGAATTTATGCTTTTTGCTTTTATTTAAATACTTAGAAGCAGATGACTAGGTCATATAGTAAGTGTATGTTTAAAATTTTTAGAAACTGCCAAACTCTTTTTCACAGTGATTTACCATTTTACAATATGGTATAGCAGTGTATGAGAGTTCCAGTTACTCCACATTCTTGCCAGTACTGAGCACAGTCTTAATTTAGTCATCCTCATTGTGGTTTTAATTTGTCTATCTCTAATGATTAATAATGCTGAACATCTATCCATGTGCTTCTTTGCCATGTATATGTCTCCTTTGGTGAAGTGTGTTAAAATCTTTTGCCCATTTTTTAATTGAGTGGTTATTGAATTTTGAGATTCTTTGATTTAATCTAAGTTACAAATGCTTTATCAGATGTGATTCACAAATATTTTCTCCCCATTCATAATTCATTTCTTTGTTTTCTTAGAAGTGTCTTTCAGAAACCAACTTCTTAATTTTAAGTTCACTGTATTGACTTTTTCTATTGTGGCATATGTTACTTGTTATTGTATCTCAAAAAAAAACCTTTGACTAATCCAAAGTTACAAAGATTTTTCCTTGTGTTTTCTTCTCTGAGTTTTACAGTTTTTCAGTTTATATTTTGGTCTGTGATTCATTTTGAGTTAATCTGTTCATGTGTTACAAGATATAGATAAAAGGGTTGGGCTTTTTTACACATGAATATCCAGTTGTTCCAGCACCATTTATTCAAAAGACTATCCTTTAGAAATGCTTTTACAGCTTTGTCAAAAATGAATCAACCATATATGTGTGAGTCTACTTCTGGACTCTGTTCTGTTACATTTATCTTTCTCTATCTTGATTCCAGTATAATTTTCTTTTGATTACTGCAGCTTTTTACTAGCTCTTGAAGTCAAGTAGTGTGAGTCCTTCAGCTTTGTTTTTTTCGGAGTTTTTCTTGGGCCTTTGATTTTTCATGTGAATTTTAAAATCAATTTGTCAATTTTAACCAAAAAAAGTCTGCTAGATTTTTTTTTTAATTTTTTAATAAATACGTAGGTATGGGGTCTCATTGTGTTGCCCAGACTGGTCTCAAACTCCTGGCCTCAAATAGTACTCCTACCTCAGACTCCCAGAGTTCTGGGATTATAAACCTGAGACCCAACCAT